GGGGAGGAGGAGGAAGGAGAAGAGGAGGCGGAGGGGGAGGAGGAGGAGGAGGAGGACGGGGAGGGGGGGGAGGAGGAGGAGGAGGAGGAGGTGGAGCTGTTGCTGCCGGTTTCCCTAGGAGTGGACGTACAGCCGAACGATAGTTTCGAGGATTTCCTCGCGCACGATATCGACTTCGAGGTATGTTACTTGCGGACTTGGGCCACCGCGTGACCGTAACTGTGTCGAACCTCGCGATTCCAGGAAGTGACGTTACGGAAGGCGGGCAGCGCGGAGAAGCTGGGACTGACGGTGTGTTACAGTTCCGGATCCGGCAGCGAGGACGCCGACACGGAAGTTTACATCTCCGAAATAGTTCCTGAAAGTCTGGCGGCGCGGGACGGTCGATTGCGGGAAGGCGACCAAATCTTGAGGGTAAGTATTACGCGGATTACCCGTCCCTTCCAAACGAACGAACGAACGAAGAAAGTCGCGAATAGAAAGACCGAATATAGAAGCCCGTTGGCTCCGAACGAGCTCTCCTTGCGATCGTTTCCTTCCAACCTGCTACCCTTCTAATCTCGTTAGGCGGATCGTAATTGCGGACAAAGAGTGTGACGGGGCCGGATTTCTTCTCTTGATCCCTTCGTCGAATTCACGAATATATCCGTCCTTCTTCTTCCTGTTCCAGGTGAACGGAAAAGACGTGGCGAATAAGGAACAGACCGAAAATCTATTCGCCGAAACGAAGAACGCTGTCACCATTCTCGTCAGCCGGTGTCTCTACCAGGTAACAAACGACCTCTTTGCATCCCGTTATTTCACTCCCGAGACTACCTTACTATCTTTCACAGGACGACGAATACGAGGAGAGGCGCTCGGTGTGTCGTCGGGACTCGCCGTCGCTTTCACCGGACCATCTGCCCTCCTACCAGAACAGCTTGATCGAGCAGCTGATTCGTCAGCAGCAGCAACAAACGGAGGAACGCACCAAAGACACGGAGGAGAACTGTTCGACGTTGAGGCCCCCCCCGCCACCGCCACCACCCGTCCCCTCTCACACACCCCAAGCGGCGACGGTGCACGCCTTCTCCGCGAGCAATACCTCCTCTTCGACTTGTTCCTCTCAGACCTCGCAAAAGTCTTCCGGGAGAAATGCCGCGTCGCCGGCACGCCACTCCGACCACGATCCCCAACGTAAACAATGGATCCAAGATTGCTCGAAGAAGATGGAGGGTCTGTGCGTGCGTGGCCAGCAGCCGAGTTGCGGACCAACGGTCAAGCTAACCGACGCCTATTCGAATCACGTGTGGAGCGAGACCGAGCACATCTACGAGACGATACCAGAGTCGGACAGCGAGCCGATCTATTCCTCGCCGTACGAACACCGTCACCGCCACCATCACCACCACCACCACCACTGGAATTCCACCCACTCGAATCACGCGTCGAGCAATGCGTCGAGCAACGCGGCCATGCTCGCCACCGGCAACGTTACCATCGTTCCATCGCCGGCCACGGCTCCCGTACCACCGACCACATCCGCCGCCATACCGACCACGCTGATTCAGGGAAGCCAGCAAACCGGCGGCATCAGGTGGTATTGTTCCTCGAAGAGCAACAGCTCCGGCGAAGAGAAGGACAGCTCGAGTGCGTACAACACCGGCGAGTCGTGCAACAGCAATCCGCTCACGTTGGAGCTGCACAGAGGTGAGAGGGATCATCACAAGAGCACGCTGGTCCTTTGCCCTCCGAAAACTTCGACGTTGCAACAACAACAACAACAACCACCGCAACAACACCTACAGCAGCAGCAACAGCAAAGGCTCGGTTGTACTTGTCACACGTTTACAAATAAACAGGCGAGAAATCAAACGAACAGAAGAGCCTCGAGCTCCCATCGTTACAGGGAACGTGCGCCGGATCCGACGAACGCGAGCACCACCGGCTTACCTGCCGACACTATGTACACCAACATGGCGAACCTTCAGCAAACGATGCTTCTGCAGCAGCAGCTGTTCAAGCAGGCGCTCGATCGACGAAATTCGACGATCGCCGCCCCTAGAAAAACGGGCGGCGACGGTGGCGGGACCGCGAAAAAGTCCAGGTCTCACGGTAATTTTCAGGCGCCAAATCTGACGCGATATCAGTTCGTCGGGAGCCAACAGGTGTGCGGTACCAATTCGTGGATACCGCCGGAAGACAAGGGGAACGAGGTGCAGATGGAATGGAAGGTGAAGAGGAGAGCGGACGGAACTAGGTATATCGCTCGGAGGCCGGTGAGAAATCGCATTCTGAGGAACAGAGCGATCAAGATATCGGAGGAGAGGGCCGGGCACAGCACGGAAGACGACACCATGTCGGAAGTAAAGGTGGTCGCAGCTTTCTTGGAAGAAGCGTCCCCCTACCTTCTCGCCTCTGTCATCATCCTGTTCTTGCTCGTGTTTCAGGTTGGCAGATACTGGACCAAGGAAGAGCGCAAACGGCAACTGGAACGTGCCCGCGAGCGCAAGCAGAGGCAACAAGAGCTTCAACTGCAGCAACAACAGCATCAACAGCTTCAGCTGCAACAAACCAACGAGCTGTTGGCCGGTGAACATGGGGACGAAAAACTGGCGAAAAAGCCTCTGAACATCGTCGAGCTCAGTCACAAAAAAATGGCTCGTAAAAAAAACACTTTGGACGATTTCACCACCGTTCAAGAGATGTTGGTTCATGGGAACAGAATCGGCGGCACGACTGGTCCCGGAACGGGAGGGAAATTGATGGGTCTCCTCTCGGTCACGACCGTTTGAATCGCGGAAACCGATATCCTTTGTGCTTCCTCTTCGCGACCCCCCGCAACACCACCTCGTCGCTCTTATCTAGATCCCTTACTTTACTCCTTCCTCGACCTTCCACTCTTACAACCACTCTCTCAGAGTACGAAAGCGCTAACCCTTACCCCCAACGAAGCGAAGCGACTCCTGTGTCATCGTCAAAGTAGCGTAAACGGTTGTAAATATTTTTCTCGTAACGACACACACACACACACACACACACACACGCGCGCGCGCGCGCGCGTATGTAGATTATTTTACACAAGCCGAAACTTTTCTGTGGACGAAACAAAAAAAAAATAGAACAAGAGTACACTTCTGTAGATATGTATAAAATAAACGTAACGATGGTGTACTACGTAACAAACGCAGACCGTCGGTTCCTTGTATGTAGCGCGACGTCTCGAGCGTTCCAAAAGTACGATCGACAAAAAGGAAAAAGGATGTTTGCGTTATCATGTGACAACTTGTAGGCGCACAACGGCGTAAAGTTGTCACGCGAACACCACAAAACGGGTAATACATGCGTCGTAAAAGAAACGTGCGAAGAATTATATATTTTATTACGAAATTTGAAAATCTTATCATCGATATACGTGTATCTGTTCTATCTATCTATCTATCTATCTATCTATCTATCTATCTATTACATGAACGATGCGTTGATGTTTAAGCTGCTTAAAACCTTTCGTTCCTGAATATTTAAATGCTGAATGTACGCTGGAAAACAATGATGAGTTGAAAAATTCAACAAAAAGTCCCTGAGGTATTGACTCAGATTCAAGTGATAAATGGAATCTTGCAGCAACTCCGGATCATCTTCGTCTTCCTGGGCTTCGTTCGCAGCTTCTCCTAGCACTGATCGATACGACCAAACAGCGAAAAAAAATTGTTCATGCGAGGTTAGATAGAGAGAGACGACATGCTATTTACACGAAAAATCTCACACTTACTCTGCATAGTTTCGTAGCCCGGATCTAGGTAAGCGTTCTCGTCCTCGCTGT